GGGTGAGTCCATATACTCAATTAAAATAAATCAAGTTACACAATAATTCAAGGTGTACATTCATAGTCTTTCTACCTTAACAATTCATCATAGAGTAACATAATTACGTATACAGGATGATGCATGATGCAGGTCATTTATAAGGTTCTCTCTTGTTTAGTCACATGACATAATGCATGGGGATCCCAATCACTTGTGTAACATCCTGCCCTTTAATTTAAATAAAATGAGGTTTGTTAAAGTATAATTGGAATAGATTTGGATATAATTTATATTTAAAAATAAAATAAAATTTATGAACAGTACCGATGAACAGTAAAACCGCCTATGAACAGTAAAACTGTGTACAAAACCGCGTATGAACAGTAAAACCGCCTATGTACAGTGACCGATTACGTCATCAGTGACGTCATGGCTGACGTCACATACGCGTACCGTTCGTGTACAGTACGTGTGCACAGTGTTTCTAATGTGAACAGTGTTTTCTACGTGAACAGTAAGGTGGTGAACAATATTTCCGGCAATGAACATTAATTCCAGCGATGAACAGTAAATTTCAAAAATTTTCTATAAAAAGAGGGTTTCACACGAATTTTTCATTTCTTAACTCCTATCCAAGGCTCTCAAAGGTTCTAAGGCTATATCTCACCATTTTCTCTCATATTAAACCCTCCTAAACTTAGATTTCTCTTCAGATCTGTGATTCTACGTCCGTTCTAAAGGATTTCAAGTAAGTTTCTCTAAGTTTAAAGTTAGATTTACCGTTCATTTCTCTTCTTCTTCTTTTTCTTATAGATGTTTATGATGTTCTTAGGAAAAGAACTCCGTTCTAGAGTTAAAATCTTCAGTTAAATCTTTGTAAAATCTCTGTTTTGGAGGTAAAGGGGCTCTACTTTATCATTTTGTTATGTTTATTACTTGTATTCTCATAGATCTTGTCATGTATGTGATTATATGTGGAATAATCCTTGTTTTACGAAAAATAATCAGTTAAAAGTGAGAATAGTTGGTTGTTTATGTGATTTTATGATGAATAAATGGTTAAAATGTGATATTATGTTCAAATAAGGCATGATAAGGTATATTGAGGATGGTTGATATGATTTTATAATTTTGTGATATGAAATATATGAAAAGATGGATGTTTCATGTTTGAATATATTGTGTTTCATGTAAAAATGATGTGTATTGTGAATATGCCATGGTTTGATGTATATGATAAAAAGTATGTGGAAATATAATGAAAAATATGTGTGAACATGAGAAATGGCATATGTGAAGATGTGAATATACTTGAAAGAGTATGAGATGGAAAAAGATATGATGTAAATAGTTACAAAGATACATTGGGGGAGTGGAAGATGGAGACGATATGAGATATCTTGGAGAAATGCAGGGTGGTGATGACATTTAGGAGTGTGCACGAAATATTGTGTACGAATGCACCACATGGCCGCACACTTATTTCCCGATTTAACTCTTGACCATTACCTTTGCTAAGGGGCTGTCTGTTGCATGCGTTGTATCCGTATTGCATTAGGCCATCCGGCGACTAGTTACATGGATGTGTAAGACCTCGGGATAGAGGCATCGGATAACTGTGGTCACAGGGTGCGGTAAGCGCGGATAATAAAAATAAAAAGAAATTATGAATTTATGGAATATAATACATGTTGAGATGAGAACATGCTTTATATGACACTGTGATATGTAATGCCATGATGTTTTTTTTAATCGTGATAAGATGTGTTTTGTGATGAATATGTATTATGTATAAGTGGTAGGGTAGAGACTCACCCTTACACAACATTTTTCAGGAAAGCAGGATGAATAGTACCAGGCTCACAGTGCATGGATGGATGAGAATCTCTTTCCCAATATTTTTCAGCAAAAGATAAGATATTTGATATGATGCTTGAGGTATCTCTTTCATAGGGTTTGAAAACCCTAAAAGCTCTTCATAATTGGACTTCCTGTAGATGAACATGGTTGTGTAAGGCCATAAGCATGATCGTGCATGCACTCAAAGCATTCTCGTGCTTGTTGAATGGGTTTGGGCGTGCTGACTGTCGCAAAACTCTAATCTTTTATCCATTTGGGCCAAAAATGCACCCAAAATCCACTTGTATCCTCTTTTTACTAAACTGCACAATTAATATATAAATTTGTGTAAAAATCAAACAAAATAAAAGTCAAATATAAATATATGGGTTGTAAAAGAGGGCCTAAATTTAGACATCAATGCTCCTATGAGCATAAAATATACATTATAGTAAAATGATAACATAGAACCCTCCTTACCTAGACATGAAGATTTAGGAAGAGATTGATAAAGACTATCACCCAACAACATAAGTTTTTCCTTGATATCATAAGATACCCATGAGAAATAGAAAAAAAAAGGAAAATAAATGGAGAATATAAAATCAAACTTGGAGAAATTTAATTGGAGTCGCTTAGATTAGATGTCCAAGTTCAGATTCGAGCAACAATTAGAGTTTGAAGGAGGTTTCTCTGAGAAAAGCAAGTGAAGGTTCAGAGAGAAATAAGGGATAATGTAGAAATGAAATGTAATGAAACTTCCATGCGATAAATTCCTTAAATACCTCTCAAATCTCACGCACTTTTGCTTGAGCGAGCGTGCTCTCGCTTGAGTAAGGTCCTCCTCGCCTTGGTAAGCCCTTTCTCGTTTAGGTGAGAAAACTAGACAGTGTTTTCATTAACCATTTTTTGATATTCTCACTTGAGCAAGAAGATGTACAGAGAGTTAGCATTTTACCTTGTGAGTCTTAGCTTGAGCGACTGATCTCGCCTGGGCGAGATTGCCTTAAAATCATGTGGTTTTGGGCGCTTAGTCTCGCCTGAGCGAGACCCCCTGTATCAGAATTCTATCTAACACTCATCAATTCAAATAAAAACATATTCCAACATTATCCGATATTAAAACATTAAACAATAAATAAATAAATAAAAAGAGGTGTTACACACAACATACAATTATGCAGAATAGGATAAACACTAATCACCAATGAAAATCAAATTAAGATTCAAACATCAAAATTCTATAATTTCATGAACAAAGGTGTTAAGGTTGATGATAATGCACTGCTTAAAATTGGACAGATGAAATGTTAAGAAAAAAAACATTTATATACCAATGCAGAAACTTCAAGAAATTAAAGAAGTTTTAAGTGAGAGTTTTTCACCTCACAACAACAAACTTCTTCACCAGAGTCTAATTTGAGACAAGTTAGATCTTTAGTGATATGTACAAAACTTACCTAAAAGTTTTGAAGCAACATCAAAACAAGACGTATAGGTCAAAACAATTGCTCATTCATAAATAGATCCTTAATTTATAGTTTCTCATCCTTTAGACTTTCATCTCAAGATGCATATCTTCATAAAAGCCTTGATCGACAAGACCATATATAACCCTTGAAGTGGAGATTAAAGACAAACAACATCCCACTAGATCAGCATATAGGCTTATCTTTGTTGGAAAAATGTTTGAGGAATAAAGAACCCTTTTTAATTATAAAATTGAGAAGGAATCCACTTTGCATTTACTTTTACGGCTTTGTGGTGACATGCAAATATTTGTGTGGACACTAATACCTAAGACTATCAATTTAGAGGTGGAAAGCTCTTATGCGAAAGAATATTTATGGCAAGTAAAATTGTTAAAATATATTAGTTGAATAATTGAAAATAATATTTAAAGAAGTTTAAATAAGACACACAAGGGATAAGAAATTAATAGCTTACTCACTTCTTACTTTTAAAATATGATCTCATGTTTCTTTATAAGCATTCTCCTCCATTATGTTTTGGTGACTTCATACTATAATAATATTTATAATATTCTAGAATTGTAATTTTTAGAATTATCATGTAACTAAAAAGATACAAAAAGATTTTTCTAAATTATTTTTAATATTTTTCTAAACTAATCTACAAATTTAGATCATGTACCATAAAATTTGATTGTAAAATTTATAAGTATGATTTTGAGAGTTTTGTATAAATTATAAGTTGAATTTATCCTTGCATATGTATGTTAAATAATTTGCATTTTGATTTATAGATGAAATGAATATGTTCCAAGTTTATATTCATCGTTGGGGGAATATGAATTCGTTTTGTATTATGATTTATTCTCTCATATGTGACTATCAAGATATTTGATTTGTCTGAACAGTTTAAGTGACGTAAAGCCAAGATGAAAATGTTTAATTTTCATTTTTAGGGTACCCAAACAAAATTTTAAAAAATTATGATTTATTAAATATCAAAGCGATATTAGTAAACTACTTTTGTGAACAAGGAACCAACACAAGCATTTAGAGATATTCAACGGACGAAACCCTAGCTTATGACAGGACACGTTAGATGTTGATAATACAAAATCTCACCTTTTTCCCTAAATTGTTATAAAAATGGTCAAATATATCAGTCTTTAAGCACAAGACGCATTAGTCTCTAAGGAGGACTAATATTGTTGACATGTGTAGCTTATGGGGACTAAGTGATCGAACTTTTGAATTGTAACAAACTATTATTTCTAATTAAGGGATCACTTTTATTCAATTCCATATCACACTGCTAAAAGGAAAAACAAAAACATGTACACCTGATCTTCCATATTCCTATATAAGATAATGTACATCTCGATGTGATACAGAATGTATGTAGTCTTTTTAATCTCCTCTTCACCTTTGGAAGTAAAGGAATTATAATCTAGCGTGTACAAGATGCAAGCACATATTTCTTTTTCATCCAGCATTCTGCATGATGTGTTCATGTATACTATGTAACTGCTGCACTATACAAAGTAATAAGCTAATTAAGAACAAATTAGAGGGGAAAAATAACAGCATTAGCACTCGTAGTCACGTGAATCTCAATATTATGGTCACAACAGTTTTGAAGGCTACCAAGAAAAGGTAGCAGCCGGGGTTGTGACTGGAATGTAACTGCAATATGATTGTGTATGCCTTTCATGATTCTTCAGCAAATATTCTAAATATGAAGTCACGAAACCGCCTAGAATATTGCCTAGGATCAACTGCTGATATTGAGGTTGGGTCATACTGAATTGACTTGTAAGCATGCTCAAGCTTCTTGCTGATGTCATAGTCTTGAAGTATATCTATGATGCCGAAAAACAAAACCACCTCATAGAACTGTCCTATTGGTTGTCCTACAAGTTGTAATTCACAGCCAATTTTTCTCAATGTTCTTTCAACCCTTGCTGGCATATTCACACCCAATTTGATGCTCGCCCATCTATAGAAACAGAATATATAGATGTATTATCCTACAGGGCATAACTAAAGTTATATTGGTTATGCATAGCTAAAGTCCGAAATTTATGATGCAAAATATATACACGCACATTAATAATTTAGATTTTTACCATGTTCTTTTAATTTGTTTAATCTCAATTAAATATTTGTTATGAGGATGTCAACATTGAAACAGAAAAGAATTTTATTGGCAGACAAGAAAAAAACAAGCATATATTTCGGAAAACAAAAATTTTACCTTACTGATTCAAATAATATTCAGATTGAACACTGAATGATGTAATAGCGATTATTTAATTACTTTGAGAGCATCACTAGATACAACCAAGAACCAACTAATGTACTGATGTGTACAAAAACAAAAAGACAAAATACTGATTAATAAGTACTTCTAACTGTTAATGGTGATCATAAGACGCATTTTGGGACATAACTTGTTTAGGCTTCAACCATTATTTCCTATGAAATGCTCAGGGGTAATGAATCTTGACATATTACAGAAAGACTTGTTCTCGATAACTAACTAATAATCTTTATTTATTAATATCAAGACAATCTAGCTACTATAGTTGTATTACATCGTTGTATTAAGATTTCAAAAAGACGTGTGACCTGGAAGGATCTAGAAGAAGTTGATCCATGTCTGCTCTTGAAATACGGGGACTTTCTTCACTCTCTGAATCACCTGAGATTGAAAAGCCAAAATATATTTCTAGAGTTTCCACTTAAGAATATAAGTAAAATTATGATGGGGTTGTAGAGTGCTTGATGTAAGGATAAGAAAAGTACCAGCTGGAGTGTTAGATCCTGAAGGAATAAGATCCCCATTTTCTGATATATCTTTGAAATGAATACCAACCAACAGACTGTAGTCCATGATTCCCTCTTGTTCTAGAAGCTCACAGTCCCTATCTATTTGCCTGAGACAACAAACATATGGTGATATAAGAATCCAACTTAACAAGCGAAACAGCAAAATGGTGAGCAACTCTGACACAATTTAATCTTCTGAAATCTTCGTCACCTGCAAAATTCCTGAAACCAAGATTTCTGTAGCCGAAATATAAAATTTAGATCTAGATCTTTAAGGATGGTCGTTTCACAAATCTCCGACTCAGGCTTAATTGTTATTCTGCCAAGTGAAGAACCTTTCAAATCAAAGCGTCTGTGAATGGTATACTCGGAACAAAAGAGGTTTCCCATTATGATAAATCGAACCTACAAACAAAAAAACATAACATAAAGATTATAACCCTTACCCTATTACTAATTAATATTTCATAGAGCTATTATAAATACTATAGTCAGTCGTATGATCCTATAACGATTAACAATAATACATGTCAAATGCTTTAAAATTCAGAACAGTACCCACCCTATGATATGCATTATACATTATATAAGGTAAACTTTCATGATGTTAAGGATTGGGTGGGGTACTCGTACACATTTTAATATATTGATCTTGCTGATAAAAGAAATTCAAAATAGTACTATAACTAGCTTTTTGCTATAATCCTGTAAACATGTATACCTTTTTCTGAGCTGGTCCGGTTAGCTTCACACAATGCAAGCCGTAAAACTTTGTCACTAGAGCATTTTCAAATGCTCGAAAATGATTATAATATGCCGGAAGCATTCTTAAGAGAGCCTACAATATAAATTCAGGATTGTCAAATTAGTAAGAATGTGCCTTCATTTCAAAGAAATTTCAAGTGGGGGCAAGATACACTACACTCACTTTTGCCTCAGCTTTTTTCATTGTCTTAATCATGTAACGGTCATCATTGGTCAAGTAGAAGAAGCTGCCACTTTTTCCCGGAGACGAAAGTTCTCGAAGGGCATCATTTCCACATATAGATATCATGTAATCAGCTGCATCCACCTTGAATAGCTTCCTGAGTGTTCTAAAGGCAGAGTTTGATAGAAAAAGTTGATTAGACATTACTTACATAAAAATAGTATTACCAATTTACCCTTGTTTAATGTTGTATGATGATAATAAAATGTTATGGTAACTCATGGGAAAAATTGAGGGTTTAAATAAATTTTTTGTCTCTGTAAATGACACCAATTTTTAATCTGGTCCTTGTATGAACAAAGTCTGTACATTCATCCCTTATATGAAAAATTATTTTTGCTTTGGTCCATAGTCCTACAGGTTAAACGAAATTTCAACATGGCATCACGGTTCCTATTCTCCTGAGCTTCCGTCGTGAGCCCTTATTATTGGACCACTATCTATGCACGTATATTAAGCTTAGACTATAGAATCTTTGCTTCTCGAGTGTTGGTAAAAATTGCTGCTTGCGTTGCGGGAGATGCCCGCTGGCCCGACCTACTTGCCAATTGAAAGAACAGCTCATTAGCTAGTACGAGGCTTATTTGGAGTTGTACCAAAAATCATGTCTTTCGAACTGAACGGAACGTCCATCTCCAAAATGAAGTTATTTAATGCTCCAAAAATTGTAATGCTCACATTCAACATCTTGACAATTTGTGGCTTAACTAACCCTTCAGCCGTCCACATTGAGTTTTCACCTTCAACACTCAAGTACTATTGGGTGGTGATGTTAATGCATGCTTGTGAGAATTTAATGCATGCTGATTTCCTCATTCAAGATTGCCTCACAAACCAACAATTTGATATCATCCTTTTTGCTATTACTTCGTTAAGTAAGAGAGAGAGAGAGAGTATTTTTTCAGTGTCAAATTCTGCAATCCAATATAAAAGAGTTTCAAATTTTGGCGTTAGAATTAAGGATGGTAGACGATTTGCTATATGGGTTATGGATGTTAGCTAAATCTAAAAGGGAGAAAGGGATTTGGTGAGGTTCATGATTGACAATGATGAAAGGAGATAGGACGATCTGAAGGTATTTGGTATGGGTTTCAAGGAAAGAGAATTTGAAAATGTGCAAGAAGAAATGACCATTGTACAGTAGGCCTTGACTGTGTATGAAGTGTGAAGTTGGAATTACTTTTGGCACATATGACTCTGATTGATGGTATTATAATGTCCCTTCGTAGCAGGGACATAAATGAAAATGACATTTTTTTGTATATGGAGAACTTTACAAACTTTTTTTACCGCAAGAAATGTATTTAACAAAAAAATGAGGTATGTCATTGACCTAGAGTCTTAATATTAAAAGGGGTCTGCTCATTAAAGAATATCTAGTATATGACAATATTGAAAAAATACATAATATCGATGACAATTAATTATGTTATTTTATTTAAGTTATTTTAGTAAAATAGTCACTCTTTACCAATTCCTTTTCTTATTATTTAAAAGATAAACAATTATTTTCTTTAAAAAAGTTGTAGCCAAACTTGCACCATGTATCAATAAGGCTTACCTAAAAACTACAGGGCAATAGTCCTTCCATTTGAACTCACTTGATGGATGTGGTGGAGTATATTTGGATCCTTCAGGTGGAAATCTTGTCCACACTTTCTCCTTAGAGTCAAAAGCCGAAGGCTTCAAATCAAGGGATGCTGAGGGGGCTGGTCTTCCAACAGAATGCCTATCCAACAACCCAGAAATTTTATTGGGTTACAAATGTTACGTGCAAGGCAAGACGTAAAAATTAAGAAACCAAACTAATGCCATGGCTGTTTCAAATAATAATAATAATAATAATAATAATATTTGCATCTATTACCGTATATTAACTGCGAAAGTGAACTATAATGTCAAGTTTTTTGTGTAAAAGTGAAGTTTCTTGATTCGTGTATTTGTTTCAAACCACTATAAAAAATAAACCCATTATAATAAATAAATAATAAGATTGCTAATATAGTATAGATAGAATGAAATGTAGGTTGGATAGCAATAATTCTCAATAAATAGAAGAAAAATAAAAAATAAAATAAAATAAATTTCATACTATCTATATTTTACATTAGTTATTTTTAAATCATTAATTTCTCCAAAGTTGTTGTAAATTTATTTAAATTTATTGAAGAAATTTGATTTATTTTATTTTATCATAAACACCTATCTATAACTTTATCTATGTTGAGATGTATTCTTTATTCCAAATCCTAAATTAAAGCATAACCTGATTCCTAGCTGCAAATTGAGCATGAGCTCATAATTTTTGTGTCCTTTGCATATGGTCTCCCCCTGCCTCTTGGATTTCCTTGGCAATTTCAAAGTTTGAAGTTTTGGAATAGAACCATCAATACTTGCTAGAAAGTCTTCATCCAAAGCACCCCCTTTTGTTGTAGTTTTATTACCACTGAAATCACCCTCCCCACCACCCCATAATTGCATTCTATCGCTTGGCTTCTCCAACCCTACGCTTACCCTCCCATCTACTGACATTCTCCTAGGCTTACCACTATCCCCTCCTTTGGTAGACCTCCACACTGCAAGCCTCTTCTGTGATGGCAAAATGGAAACCTTCTCCCCTGGACAAATTGCATACTCATTCAAAGTATTAAAAATTTCATGAGGATCCCATTCAAGATGGCCCTCTTGTGGTGGCCCAGCTGGATAGTATGTTCCACTTTGATCTCTCGGATCCTTACTCCAATTCCCCACATAAAAACTTCCATCAACCCATTTGAAAGTTCCATTCCCCTTAGGAAAACCATCTTCCCAATATCCATCATACATATCCCCGTTACCCCAAACAAAGGAACCCTTACCCCAAATAGTCCCATTCTTCCATTCCCCAACATAATAGCTCCCATTCTTCCATTGATACCTCCCTTGCCCATCCTGCAACCCCCTTCTCCATTCACCCTCATACTTATCCCCATTGGCAAAATTCTTGACACCATGACCGTGTTTCAAATTCATGACCCACTGTCCCTTATAAGTGTCCCCATTGGAGGCTACGTATGTGCCTGTCCCATCCATGTAACCATTCTTAAATTCCCCTTCATAAGTTGGCCCGTTAGGCCAAGTGAACCTTCCCTTTCCCATTGTTTTCCCTTTGAACCATTCTCCAACATATATACACCCATCAGTCCACAAATATTTGCCCTTCCCATGTGGGAAATTATCTGCCCATTCTCCCTTATAGTAATCCCCATTGGAGAGAACCCTCTCTGCATGGTACAGTTCACATACCTCGCTGCCATTTTGCCCATCCTTGTGCTCTTCTTCATCTGCATTGGCAACATACGTTGACCCAAATATACTGTTCGCACGCTTCTTCGCAACTGCCTGTGTCTTTCTCACTGTGGCCTCCCATGCCTTCATAACACTGCTGTCTTTACCAATCATTGTGCTTAATTCTCCTTGTTTGGTTTTTTTCTTTTAACATTTGCAAATTCATGCATATCCACAAGAAGAAAATGAAAAATATTGCATCAAAGATGCATCGGTGTAAGGGCAATATGAAATTTTAACCATGGCTTTCTGGGTTAGAGATCCTTCTTTCTGCTGAACCCAAGACCAAACATTAAAATTTTCTTTATCTCATGCTTCCAAAGTTTCTGGTGTCATTTGGATATTAGAGGCTTAGAGCAATTGCACAATGAGACAACTATCCCAAGCAAAGTTGGCTGGAGGACCCATTCCTAATTTGGTGAAATTTGTTACCCAAATCAATTCCTTTAGGAATTATTGTGATATTCTTGAACCGAAACCGTGAAAAATTCATTAGAGGTGCAGCTTTTTCTCCCATGTTTGAATTGTTTTCCGTGAGAAAGAATCGTTCACCTCCTACAACCAATAAGAACCGCGACATGGGACATGTGCTAAATCAAGGGGTTTGTTTACTATTCTTATGTTAAAAAACCAATTTTTTTCATTGTGTTTTTGTTTACTGCAAGCAGTTCACTCTGTTTAAATTATTAATACATCTTTTTATGATAATAAATAAAGTTGAAACAATTATTAGTACATTTTATTCTAAGCCTAAAGCAAGAAATATAAATGATTGTAAAAATTTTGAAATTCCTTATTTTAAAGATAAATTAAAACTAAATTAATTATTTATATTAATTTGACTATTCAACATATTGAAATTTTGTAAAAAATTTTTGTTTATGTTTAAATAAATGATTCTACAATTTCTAATATATATTTTTTTATATTAAACAAGGACAAAAAAACTCAACAAAACAACAACTCAAAGTACAATTCTAAAATGCTAAACACCATCAGCATCTATGCTCAAGAAAGAGAAGAGGGAAGAAGATGGAATGGTAAAATCAGTACACGGAGATAGTTCATTAAAGTCAATTTTAGCTACTAGATCAGCACAGTTAGTTTTTCTATAAACATGCATAATTCTAATAAATCTAATAGATTCAAGTAGATCTCTAATTCTTCCCATAAAAAACTACAAAGGATGAGCAAGAGTAGTAGCCTCTTTGCTCTTTGAAATCTCTGATAATCCAAACATTGTAAATATGATAATTGACCACCAATTAAACACGTAAGAGAAAGTTTGAAAGCTCAACTATTTATATTTAATTTTATATAATAACTTTAGAAGATAATATTATATTTATGTTTTTGCTATTTATTGTAATTTTGCACTTAATGTATTTTTAAAATGCTTTATATTAGTTATAAAAAAGGATAAAATTATTATTTTTTTATGTATTTTAGTTAATTAAACTACAAATATAAGGAACAAATATAGAAATTTAAGTACCTTACAAGTTAGAGATAAGTAATTTTTTCAAATACATGATAATTAATATTACAGTACCTAATGTATTAGAAAAAAAAAATTCCAAGTACTTTCTTTGGTCTAAAATAAGGTTTTACACGTACAACAGTTCAAATACAAGAAGTCTAAATGTTTTACGTTATAACTTGTGGATTATATATATTTGAATATACTTACTTATTATTTTATGTATTTATAATAAGTTTTATGAAATTTATAATTATTAATATTTGGAGGTATAAAGTCACTTATATACGTTGCACATACTCATTATTTTAAGTATTTATAATAGAATTTATTTGTATTAAAATTTAAAATATTTAGAGTCACTTCGATATATAAATAATAAATCTATATATTTTGTTATATATTTATAACAAAATTTATAACTATTAAAATTTAGAATTAAAATAAATAAATGTTACCTCAATATAAAATATAAAATCCGTCAACCCACTCTCAGCTAGAATAAGATTTAGATATAACACTTCACAAGCCAAAGGACAATAAAGGTCATCTAAGGTAAGTTCTCCTTACTTGGAATGTTTTTTCTTAGATTGAAATCCTCGTGAGTTACAAAGAGAGAAATAACACTCAAGGGCTCACATCTCCTTACTAATACAAAATAGAAACCTTTGAGAAGAGAAATTCAAGAAGTAAGGAGTAGACTCGAAGAACCAAGTCCTAGGAACTCACCTAGATCCGCAATTTATAGTTGTTCTCACTTGGATTAGGAAGAATTTTGGCTTCAGGAAGGTTTTCTGTGAGGGAATGTGAGAGAACAAAGAGAAAATGGGAAGGGAAGACTGTCTGGTGAAAAATGAATGTTTTTCTGCACTAAGGTCCCTTAAATACCCTTCCAGGTCTACGCACTCTCACTTGAGTGAGCCTCTCTTTTGTAGTATAGAACTCAACCTAGGTTGATTCACAGAGACACATCTGCAATTAAATTCAATTTTAAGTTTTCTTTTTAGAAGAATGAAAGTAAGGTTTTGGGGGTTTGAAAACTGCAAATTAATTAAATTAAATTCTGAAAAAATTAAAATTGAGTAAAAATAAATTAAAAAACATCAATCAATAGAATACCAAATGCGTGTTATCTAATTATCACAATATCTAAAGATTTGAATCCGAATTTGAATGTTTACCCAATGCAATTATTAATTCAATCGAATAACCTAATTGAACTAGATCACGAATTAAATTAAATTAGCATTTAACCTAACTTAAATTAATTATCAAATTAGAATATCAATTGAATCCTAATTTGAATTCTAACCACAAAAAAGTTAATCACAATTGTAATATACAAATTTGATATTAGAGAAAAAGGGAACAAACTTGGAGCAATTTAGCCCAAAACTCAAATTGGATGTACAACGTTTGGATTTCGCAAATTGAATGCGAGGTTTAGTCTTCTATTGAAGCACTTAACCCATGCGAGAATGACAAGAGAACGAGAGAATTCGAGAGAAAGTAAAAATAAGGATTCTTATTTTAGTCAAATCATAGAAACTCAAAGTGTCTAATCCCACACCTAATTCAGAACCTTATTAGTCTATTTATAGGTGTAAATTAAGTTGCCAAAATTTGGGTTTCAATAATATCTAAAAGCTAAATACAATTATTAAATAACAAAGATCCAAATACAATCTCGCAGTAATATTCAGCAAACCTGCCTCAACTTCAAAAAATCATAAAAATCAAAAACTTCAAATACAGTGATCCATAAATGCATTTTGAAGTAGTATATGTGTAGAATGCAATGCAATTAGAATCAACCAAAAATGATATATGTAGAAAAATTTATGACTGAAAGAGTAGTCAAAGGTCAGAATAACCGAAAATACAAAATGAAAGCATTTATTTGTAACAAGCTCAATTTATTCAAATAAGTAGAAAATGGTAAAAAATCTATAAACAAAGCACATTAAAAGAGTTTATAAATCAAAATAAAATTATAAATGTAAACCTAAAATATGTTATATTAACAAGAGACATCTCGCTTGAGCGAGAATTGGTCTAGAGAGCTCCCTATTTCTCCTGTGACTCCTCAGCTAAGCAAGCTCTTCTCATTTGAGTGAGGGGACAGTTGGAGCAATCTTATCCTATCTTGCTTAAGCAAGAATCACCTCGCTTGAGTGAGATCATTCCAAAATGTCCAATTCTACACGACTTAATCTTTCTTGAGCGAGAAATCCTGCACCCATGACTCCCTATTTTTCCAAGAATAAAGGTTTACAATGCCTCTCCCATATCCCTATGTCTTCACTCACATAAAACACTTAGTGATTGATCACAAACTCTCATTGCAAATTATATCAAACATAGCAACCACTCAACATTGCAATGCACAACTCTTATTCAGCAACTATACAGCTCACACATACCTAAATCCAAGCTATTTCATACAATTACCAACATATAACATCGCATTCAAAATACAAAGACATCTAGTTAAATTATTACAACATTATCTTTTAAAAAAAAGTGTTTTAATTAAAAATAAAAAAGTATCTTTACATTAAGATATTTTCAAATTTGTATGGTATTGATTAAAATTATTTTATTAATTAGTTTAATATAATTTATATTTAAATATGTACTTCAAATATTAAACTGTAATTTGAAAAAAAAAACTACAGTTACAAAATTATTATTTTCCATAAAATATAAATAAATTTACTATAAATTAAATTAAAATTATATTTTTCATACTTATTATCTTTAAATTATATTTAAAGAAAATTATTAGAATTGATGGTTATATTATGTTAAAACATTAATAACAAAACTATATATAAAATTGACTGCATTTACTTATTATTCTATGCATTTAGAACAAAATTTATGGATTATTAAGATTTAAAAAGTTTAAAGTTACTTCTATATGTTGTACATATATTTATAAGGTTTAGAATGTTTAAAGTCAACTATATTGCTGATATAAATGTTACTTCAGTATAAAATGTAAAAGAATTACTATAAATTATATTAAATTAAAATTTATTAAAATTAATTATAATATTTTGTATAACTTAAAGAATTAAAATTATAATTGATTTATACTTACTATCTTTCATTTGTATTTAAGAAAAATGTATTAGAATTGAGTTATATAATATTGAAAGCAAAAATAAAAAAATTACTGTAAATGACATTTGATAAAATATTATTAAAATTTATTTATATAAAAATTTGAAAAAATCTATTGTCAAATATTGAAAAATTAAAAAATAATATTTATTAAATTATACAAAAATATTTTTATACAAATCTAATGAAGTTATCGAGTTATCTTTTAATTGAAACTAAAATTGTATATTTGTTTTAAGTTATATTTAAATTTAAATAATATTGATTTAAATTATTTTATTAATTAGTTAAATATCTTCTATATTTAAATATGTACTTCAAACACTAAAATATACTTTGAATTAAAATAAAATACACTTACACAGTTATTATTTTATATTATATATTATTAAATTAAATTTATGATAAAAAGATAAATAAATTATCATATAAATGAAAAGATAACTTTTATAATATTAATTTTTTATTTTCTGACTTTTCATATATTATGAAATAGGACTTTATC